TAACATTTCTTTTTCTTTTTTCTTTAGAGAACACCTTCCTGAATTTGATTTTTGGTTTAGAATATAAAAAGGTAAAATAGTGACTTTTTTTTTGTTATCAAGAATATCATTAATGTTTCTTTTCTTTTTTTCTTTAGAGAATGCCTTCTTGGATCTGGATTTTGGCTTAAAATATAAAAGATAAGTTAAGAAAAAGGGATTTTTTTTTCTTTTTTTTTTATCATTAGGAATGTCATTAACATTTTTATTCTTTTTTCTTTAGAGGATGCCTTTCTAAATCTAGATAAAAAATATTCAAATAATATAATTTATGACTTAGTTTTTTTTGTTTCTTTATAAAAAAGTTTTTTTAAATATTTTAATTAAAGATATTATTGCATTTTTTATTAATATTTAATTTAATAAAATAATTTTATATTAAATAATATATAATTTATTTTTTTTATTTGGCTAATTTTTTTGGTTTATTAATAGAAGATAATAGATAATATGCATCTTGTTTTAATAGATCTTGAATATGTTGACATATTTCTTTATAAAATACCATTGCTGTTCTGGTGTTAATCCTTTAGTTATTTTTTCTTTAGGAAATGATGGAAGATTTACATTATATCCTTTTTTTGTCAAATTTATCATTTGAGATCCTTTATTTACTGCTGTTTTTATTTCTATTATACCTATTTTATTCCGATTTAGTATAAAATGATGTTGCTTTTTAATTTGTGAAATAGTATTAAAATAATTAATTAAAAATTCAGTCCAATTATAAAAAAAACACTTTATTGCCCATTATTATTAAAAATAGATTATGTAACATTGTATCTACTAGTAGTTGATTTATTGATTACTTTAATTAAATCCTCTATATTATTCACTTCTGAATGTCATAACTTTAATTTAAATAAACAAAAAAATCCATCAGGCGTAAATTTGGTATGTCCTGCTATCATAAATGAGTATGTGATTTTATCATGTAAGTTATTAGTAATATGCTATGCTAGATACATAATCATTACATTATTCTTATTCTGTTCTGAATAATATCTGTATGAATTATCACCTTTTTTTCACCTAATCCATAATTTTCAAAATAATGATGAACTAATAAAATTGTTATATTAGCATCTTTTTCAACATTTTCTTCTTCTGGAATTAAATAATTTACCTAATATAAATAATAAATTAACATAAAATTAAAAAATAAAATTATATTAAAATAATAAATTATTTATTTGTCTTAGAGCTCCATCTTTACAAACACTAAAAATTTGCACTTTATAAAGACTTTTAAAATAAGTTGCTCCTTATTTAAATAATAAATCTAATTAAACTTTATAAATAAAAAATTATATATTTAATTTAATTAATATCTCTTGTTGTGAAGAATATAGGATTTAAACGGCTTCTGCAAAATTCCAGGATATGTAATTTTTAAAATCTCAAAAATTAGATATACCTAGTCATAAAGCAATTTTAAATTTTTTTAATGCTTCTTTAGAATTTATCACATAATTTCTATATAAAGATAAAAAATTTAGTAAATTAAATAAGTAAAATAAAAGATTTTAAATAAAATTTACCTAAAATTCTCTTTTTCTTATTGAGTTCAAAGAATTTATCTATTCTATTCTTCTATTTTTGTTCTATTTCTGATGCTAACTACATTTGAAAATTAATTGTATCGATTTATATTTATAACATAAGTCACTGTGAGGTAACAAAAACTTTATATCTGATATATATTTTTGCTATACTTGACAAAATATTCAAACACTTATAATTAAAAATTCATTATCATTAATATCATTTTCTATTGTATCATTATATAATCTCCAAAGTGATGAATAACTTTCACTTATTGGTAAATATGTAATTGCAGTTATTTTTTCTTGAAAATAATGATCTATTTAAGAAATATTAATAAATTTTATCAATTAAATAAAGAATTATTTTACTAATAACTAAAAATTATTAAAAATTTAATAAAAAAGTACCTGGTGATGAAAGTTCATAAATATTTGCATAATTATTTATAAATGTTAAAATTTGTAAAATAGTATCAAAGGTACTGCATTATTACTTTTTCTACCAGTCAAATCATGTATAATTGGACTAATATCATGATTAATATAATGTTTACATATTGTTTTCCATTTTTTTTTACCAACACCATAAATTATTAAAAAAGCTATCATACATATATTGATTCTTTTAAAATAATAATCACTAGTTAAATATACTTTATCCTTATTTTTTTCTGTTTTATTTGTATGAACATTTGTACTAAGCATTTCTAATAAAAACATATTTTGTTGATTTTTATTTAATTTTTGAAATAATTGAAATTTTTTAATTGCAATTTTATAATTAATAATATTATTAATTAAATACTCTTTTGAACAATAATGAGTAGTTATAAGTTTTTTTTGAAATGCTTCAACATCTTATTTTATTAATTTATCATTAAATTCTTCAGGTACTTCATTTTTCTTATAATATAATGGATCTTTATTCCAAATATTATGAAATTCCTCAATTTGAAAATTAGTAAAAATTGAATAAGATATATCATCATCTATAGAAAATGTACTTTTTTCATAATTTTCAGAAATAGTATTATTATCATAATCAATATTAAATTTATATTCATCTTGTAACTGTTCTAAAGCATTATTTAATTCATGAAATTCTAAATGAGTATCAATAAAAAGGTTTTAGTTTTAAGACATTTTTTTTTTAAATATTATATAATTATTAAAAAAAAAATACTTTAATTTGAGAATAAATAAAGTTGATAAAATTTTAAAAGAAACTATTTTATTTAATAAAATGCTTAATTTATAAATAATAAATATATATAGAAAATTAAAATAAAATTATAGATAGATAAAAGGTATTCTTATTTCTATTTTTATTTATATTATTTAAATTATCAAAAAAAGATATATTCTATTTTTATAATAACTAGTTAAAAAAAAGAAAGTTGTACTAAACTTTATTTATTTTTTTTATTAATAAATTTAAATTATTAGGAAAAGTTAAAATGGGAGAAATCTTATGGTTAAATATATTATCCAATACTAAAGATGGTCCCCATAATTATTTTTAAATTTCAATTGAGTTGCAACTTAATTGCGCAATAAGGAAATTTAATTGCATCACAAGTTGCAACTCAATTGCACCATTTTTTTTAATTGCAATGACCATCTTTATCTAATACTAATCCAATTAAATTATGTATAATTGTATAACCTGATGTATTAGTGTATTACAAACTAATAATAGAATAATGTAATATAATTGATATTATTAATTATTATATAATAGTTTATTTATATTACAAATATGTATATATGTCATACATGCAGTTTAATTAAGTGAATAATCAAGAATTAATTTTGTAGAATGAACTTACCATAGTTCATTCAAGTTCTCGATTATTTGGCTTTATCTGTTCATTTTAGTTCTTAAATAAAAAGAATAGAAAACATTAATTAAGTTTCCTAAGACAAACAAAAAAACTTACCAATTTGTTCATTTAGGGGTTATTCATTTGGTTTTGTTAAAAAAAAAGAAAAGGCAAAAAATTAAAAAAAAAAATGAACTTACTAGTTTATTCATTTAGGGCTAGTTTTTTAGCTTCATTTGTTCGTCTGGTTCTATTTCTAAAAAAAGAATAGAAAATATTAAATTACATTTTTTAAAAATAAAAATAAATAATTAAAAAATAGAACTATCTTATATGTCACCAGTGATAATTGCAGAATAAATTTGCCTTGTCAGAGGTAATACTGTTGATAAAGGTTTAGCAGTTAATTTTTATAATTATGAGTAAAATATTAATTTTTTATAAGCTAAAGAAAGCACAAGATAATGGATGTGAGAACAACATGATATATATTTTTTATTTTTTTTTTTCAAATAAGAAAATATCTGTAAAAAAAAAAATAGTTGATCTAAAAATTAAAGATTTTATATTATTAATATTCAGTAAAAGAAATTGGAGATGATCAGAATAGTCAATCAATTTTTAAATTAATAAAAAAAATCTTTCATTTAACAATCTTTTTAATCTTTTCAATTTAAATTCTTGGATTCTAAAAGGTTTTTCACACTATTCTATCATAAACAGTTTAATTTAAATTTATTATCATAATAATTTTTATGTTACAAATTATGAAATCTCATATTAATTCAAGGACTGTTCATTCAGCTTCATCTGTTCATCTAGATTCCATTCTAAAAAACAAAAAAATAAAATAAAAATAAAAAAAGAATAAGTAAAAATAATAAAAATAATAAAAATAAAAAAAATAGTAAAGTAACTTTTATATTTGATTTGTAGCTTCTGGACTTAGAGAAGAATAAAAAAGGCCAATTCGTTTATAAAATTAAAGCATATGAAAGAGCTACAAGAGAATGTTATTAACAAAGATAAACTTATCAAGAAATTATTAAAAAGTATTTCTGAAGAGTCAAAACTAGTCAGAAATTATAAATAATATCTAATTTATTATGAAAGATAAATAAAGTAAATCTTCTGACCTAGAATAAAAATGTGTCATCAGATTTATGATGTTATGAAGCTCATGACTTATGTTTGTTCATAACTATTACCTCATAAGATAATTTAGTAATTAAATAAATAATTAACATTATGCATATTTCAGTTTTTTTAATATTATCTCAAAAATTTATTATGCTTTCCAGTCTACCAAATTAAGTAAAAATAAGGCACATTGTAAATTTATATTATATAAACCAAAAATCTCAAAATTGATTAAAAGGATGATTTCTCTCATTTTAACTGACGCAAGCCAATCTGTGCAGATATTTATTATGCATATTATTTTTGTATAACTTAGCAAAATAAATGAATAAATGTGTGATAGTGACTAAAAAAATAAGGAGGTGTTACTTTTAATCTTTTTTTACTAATATTTAATGAGGAACTTGCAGGTATTTTATAGCAAGAAAATCTTGAAACTTTGACTTCTAGAATGAATAGGTTGAAAAGACTAAAGCAAAGGATATGTGAACTATTAGACCAACAAAACTTGGCTTTAAATAAATCTATAATTGAGTTAAAGTTAAATACAGACACAAATAATAAGCAGAATACTATTAAAAACAGTAAAAATCATAAAGTTTTAATAAAAATTGATTTAAATAAAATAACTGACTAGCTAGTTTTGATATCAAATGTCAAGCTACCAGGACAAAGTTAGATATAGGGTTATTTTGATCAATATGAACTAACTGAACAATACAAAAGGATTGTAAAATATTTAGTTCAAATTCAACGAAAAAATAGAATAAAATAATATAGTCATTTTATAGATTCTGATAATTCTACTGGTAATTTTATTATCCATCTTGCTATACATCAAATTACTGAAGAAAGTCATAAAAGAAAAATAAATAAGATATAAAATAATAATAGCCAATTATCACAACTTCGCATTAATAAAATTATTCGAAACAATCTGAATATTAAAAGTAATCAGAATCAAAAATTTTGTTGAAATGTTAATTAAGGATAATAAGCCAATCAGTTTATGTAATAATGAAGACTTTGTTGAATTTATTTATGAGTTTGATCCAAACTATCAACTTTCAAGTGATAAAATTCAACAATTATTAGCCAAATTATACAATCAAATTAAAGTTATTTTAACAAAAAAATTAAATGAAGATGTTATTTTCTATTCTATAATAACAGATTTATAGATAGCGTGTAATAGAAATAAATATATTAGCATAATATGTTTCTTTATTGATAATAATTTTAATATTTATGAGACAATTTTAGCAATTTAATATGTTCCTTACTCTTATATTGGTAATAATATTTGTAAAGTATTACGTGATATTATTTTTAACTAAAATCTAACTGATAAAGTTTTTACTATGATGATTAACAATAATTCTAATATGGTTAAGGCTGAAAAATTAATGAGTGAGTTTATAAGACTCTCTTGTATAGCATATACATTGCAGTTAATTGTAAGAAAAGGATTAATATAAGCTAAAATTTTAATTGCATAAGCTAAGAGACTAATAAATTTTTTTACAATACCTAAACAAATGGAATAATTGTTAGAGATTCAAAAAAGTACAAGCCATATTAAGAATGATAAGATAATTAAATTTTTTAAGCTCGCAATTTTCAATTTGATTAATTCATTATATTTTATTTTATTATTTTATTGTATTAAAGTAAAAATACATTATATTTTATTAAATAAATGTATTCTTTTTAATTAAACTATAATACATTGATCTTATTTTGTTAAATATGTTTTCTTTTAAATTTTTTTAAATTAAAAATAGAATGTCTAATAATTATGAAAGAAAAGTCAATTTACTAATATTTTTATATTATATTTTCCTTATAGAGTTTAGAAAAAAATGATGAATACCTTCAAATGATTGCTAATATAGAAATATGATGAAATTTTAGTTATCTTTCATGAAAACGTCTAATAAAAATCAAAGATTTTATTGATATTTTAGCATTTACTATATTAATTGATTCTGATTCTTTAATGTGATGTAATAGAAAATGATTGAAAAATACTGTATAAATCTAATAGAAAATAAGTGGTAAGAAATAAGCAAATTAATTAGAATTTTGGAAGATTTTACTGAAGTTACTGAATATTTAGGTAATAGTAAATATATAACTATTAATTTAATGTATAGTGTATTAGCAGTAATTAGTCAAAATATTTTATCAGATGATTCTAATATAGAGGTTATAGATTTAACAAGTCTAGATACAGCTTTTGATGATGATATTTACTATAAAGATGCATCAGAAAATGAACCTATTACTAAACAACCTAAATATAAAAAATTTAATATTAATATATTACAAAACTGCATAAATCTTAAAAATTGTATTAAAGCAGCACTATATCAATCAATGAATTATTATTGAAAAGTTCCTTAGAAACAAGAAATGTTGGCTACTTTATTAGATTTAAGATTTAAAGAACTTGAATTTGTTTTTAATTTATTATGCATTAATACTTAAGAATAATTAAGAGATGCTTATCAAAATGCAAAGGATTTGATTAATAAAGATCAAGAAGTTGAATTACAGCTGATTTCATTAAATTTATTATTAGTGAGAATATTTTAAAATAATATCATATATGATGAAATAGCTAATTATTTAGCTTTACTTAAGGTTTATCCTAATGAATATCCTTTATTATGGTAGAAAATTAATAAGACTCAATTTTCAATATTATCAAAATTAGCAAGAAAATACTTGGTCATTTCTATTACTTCAGCACTAAGTAAAAGGCTTTTTAGCGAAGCTAGTAATGTAATGACTATAAAAAGAATACAATTAATGTCAAACATATTAGAAAATTTAGTTTTTTGTAAAAAAAATTAGTGTTTAGTTAGGTGAGTTTTTCCATTAAAATTGAGAAAAGATTAATCAAATTTAATTATTTTTTTCTCACATCATTATAAAAAGAATAATGGCTTAAAAATATAAAAACAATAAAAAAATTATAATTATACTATAATACTTTTAATTTTTCTAATAACATTTTTTTGAATATTGATAAAATTTATCCATTATTATCTGCTTTATTATATTATTATTTGGATAATGAATTTATCTGTTAAATGCATTTATCTACGTGAATTTATTTAGATTTACTTAAATTTGCTGCAAATAGCAATCTGTATCTATAATAGAGTCTGTGGATTATCTATTTGCAGATAAATAGATATTTAGATCAGACTATTATAATATTAAATCTTAATTAAAGATGATCATATTAAGAATAAATCAAATATATACATAAAAATTAATATATATAAAAAAATTCTTTAATTTAAATAATTTGTATATATTACATTTAAAAAAAAACAATATTTATATATAATTTTAAAAATTTTTAATTATTTTAATTTGAATATAATTTAAAAATACTTATATTATTTTAATTTATTTATTATTTATTTTAATTTATATAATTTTAAAAAGTATATTATTTAATTTTATTTATTATTTATATATTTTAATTAATTTTATTATTTATTTTAATTATATATATTCATTATAAAAGTATTTAATTGTATATAATAAAAAATATTACTATTATAAATAAAAATTTGAATTAATTTATAGATTTATTAAAAATAAATTAGTATTAAAATTTGAATTTAAGTTAATGTTATTAATATAGAGTTAAAATTAAAGTTAGAGTTAAAAGATTAAGTGATTTATTAAAAAATACTAATTATAAGATAGTATTATTATTAAGGTTAATTATACTAATAATTATATTATTTATTAAAAATATATTAAAATCTTACATTTTTTTTATTATGATAAGAATTGCTAGTTAATTTTATATTTTAACAAATACTAATTTAAATTACTTATATAATATATTGTAAGATTGTTTTTTTATACATATTAGGAAATGGAAATATTAAGTGAACTTGATACATTTCAAAATTAGAGATTTCATTAGTTGAATATTATATGAAGAACAGAAAAATGAAATGCAATAATCATATGATTGAAAAAATTTTTATAGTGTATAAATATATATTGTCCTTCACTTTGTTCTAGTCAATAAAATTTTAGTTTAATTTGAATCAGTGGTTATTAAATAATTTAATGTAGAAAATGTTATCCAGATACTTTTATCTATTCTCTATATATTTTAATTAAAATATAATTATTATTTGCTAGTCTTAATATAAAATATATAGAAGATATTAGTTAAAGTTTTACTTAATTCAAAGATTTATATATAAATTAATTTTATAATATTTAAAAAGATAGATATGTTCTAATTATAATAAATCTAGTGAAAAATAATAATAATTTCAAATATTTATACAGTAACACCTCCATAAGTGCATGCATCTGGACCAATCATGCATGTGCACTTATGGAGGGTGTGCACTTATAGAGTAGCTAATAGAAAAATAAATTTTATTATACAAATTAAAAATCTGACAAAACTTTAAATTCATTTATTAAATTTTATTTATTTAAGCAGTATTTATTTAAACTCAATAAACTCAGTTTATTTTCCAATACACAAAAGCAACATATTTTGCAAAAATAGAATTACTTTTTAACGAAAATATGTGTTAATATCAGTTTATCGCATTAAGTTTGTCTTTTTGATTCTAAAAATTTTTTCGATCTTTCCTACTAATTTCATATATTCTTTCACGTTATCCTGTTGAAGCAAAAATGTATATACAGTTTCTAAGCTAGCAGTTGTAGCGCTAGGGCTAATAATAGAAATTTCATCGCTATCATCCATTTCATTAAAATCCATATTCTCCTTGTCGGTATTCTTAAAGAGATATACGAGTTCTTTAATAACTTGATCATCTTTAGGAACTTCGTAAACAACATTCTCTTCTGGTATGTTAAGAAACTTTTCTGCTTGTATTGGATAGAAGAGATTAAGGGCTTGAAGTGAATCTGTGAGATCACAAAGTACCAAGTTTTCATTTTGACGAATATCCTCTAAAATGTTTCTAAAATCTACATTGCATTGGGAAGAATTTTTGTGTGATGCTAGCAATTACTAATTATTTTGGCATTAACCTCATCCCAGGCTTAGATGATAAAACAAATTGCCTGTAAGACATCGATGCGTAAATCCTCTACATGGTTACCTGTTTCTACATATTGCAGCATCAAACTTTAAAAAATGAACAGTTAGATTTGAATACTAAATACATGGCAAATTTAACAATTTTACTTACCGTACATGAGAATGAAGATAGTGTCTTTTGAAAGACATAATTATTCTGGCGTTCATTGGCTGAATTTTTGAAGTCGTATTTGAAGGCAAAAAATGGATATCAGTGTATTGTAAGGTAAGGCCAACTAGCTTATAGCTGAAACAGTTATCAAGGAGAAGTAACACACACTGGCCTCTATGCTTTATACTAACTTGATGATTGAATTCCTGAAGCCACTCTTGGAAAAGCGACGCAATTATCCAGGCTTTAGCATTATTATGATATGTCATTGGCATGGATTGGATTCTTATGTTTTTAAAGCAACGCGGTCTTTCAAATTTTCCAATGATTAAAGGTTTCAATTTGTGTGAACTATCGGCATTTGCACATAATGTAACTGAAAGACGTTCTTTATTCACTTTACGCTTAGCAAGATGTTTGATTGCGAGTGTTCGATTAGGTTCTAACCTACAAATAACAAGATAAGTAAATTTTCATATTTGATTTTTTTTTTCTGTTTCAAGGATTTACCTATAAAAAAGTCCCGTTTCATCCATGTTATAGATTCTTTCAAGAGGATAGTTGGAACAATGTTTTCTTAATAAGGGTAAAGCATTGGCAATAGCGGCTTCATCAGCAGATGAAGCTTCTTCTTCAAGCTTTCATTGACGAATTCCATTGCGATTCTTGAACTTATAGAGCCATTCTGAGGAAAATTGTAATGCATCTCGAGGAATATCTAATCCATCAGCAATCATTTTAGCTTTTTCGATAAGTATCGCATCACTTAAAACTGTTCAATGCTGGTAATTTAAAATGAATTCCTTGAGAGCAAGCTCAAGTTCTGGATAAGTAACTGATTTATGGCGTTTTGAATTTGGATTGATAGTTTCTGAACCAAGTCGTTCTTCTAATAAATTTAAGAAGCCTTTTTATATATGAATTGAACAAAATCAAAATTTTTTTTTTTTTTTTACAAATATAAAAATATCAATAATAAAATTTACTTTTTTGAAGGCGTTGTCACATTATACATGAAGTTATCTAAATTATTCACATCAGATAATATTTAATATATTTTACTTTTAGAATTTTTAAATATAAAAATTAACACGTTATCTTTTAAGGTTATTTCTGATTGGTCAGTTATCACGTGCATGCATTTGTAGAAAACGTTTTAAAATATCTGGGACTCAAAATTTCTTGCACGTGCAGAAACTGGAAGATGTGCACTTAGCTTTAAGTCTCAAGCTTGGGACCGAGTTATAGTGTGCTTATAGAGAGAGTGTGCACTTATAGAGAGTGCACTTATAGAGGTGTTACTGTATAAACTTTAATTTTATTTATCTTTAAAATTTTGACTTTACAGATCTTTAGTAATAAAGTTTGATTATGAAGATTCTTTTATCAGAATAAGAAGGTGAATGTGAATTATTTTTTAATAGTATATATAGTAAGATATTAAAAGTTCAAAACAATTTTAGTAAAATAAGCAAACATTTTTGTAATTATCATTATATAGAAAATATAAAAAAAAAAATGATAACTATATATATATTTTAATTGTAAATTTACAAAATAATTTGATATATTATATATATTATAATAAAAATGTTATTTTATTATAATTAAAATAAATATATAAATTATTTGATGACTTTACAAATCCTTTTTACTTGATGTTTCATTATATTATATTATAACAAAAAATAGCAGAAAACTTTACATTTTGTAAAAATAAATAAAAGCTGTATTTTATATATTAAAGTTAAAAAATTCTCAGAATATAATTAGGTAAAATTAGATAAATTCTATTCTAAAAGAAATTTCCGTTCAAAAGGATAAATCTATATTTTCTAATCTTCTATAATCATAATCATCAAGCAAAAAGAATAAAAGGAAAATATCCAAGTAAACAAGGGAGGAAAAAATAAACTTTGTGCATTTCCACAGTAAATATTTATCGCAACTAGACTTTATTGTATAATTTGAATTTCCTTGATATCAGATTAAGTTGATCAGGTTTACAATTCAATTTGTATCTTCTTACTTTTCTATTAACATAACTCATCCATGAAGAGAATAATATGAGAAAGTTAATTACAAGAAAGGAAAATGTACTAGGGAATAAATCCTCAATTCCTTTTTTTACCTTTCTTTCTCCTTTTGCTTCTCTGAGTAGGTAGATTATTATAATAATCATCCTCTGAATCATGTTCAATATAAATGATTTCATTTTCCTCAACTTTGTGTCGTTTATGTCCTCTGGATGATGATGATTCCCCAACTTGATAATCGTATCGTTCATAATCCTTCGATGTTCTTCCACTTTTTGATGAACCAGCCTTTCTCTCATTACGTTTAGTCATAACTTCCATCTCTTCATTAGTATAAGCAAAGACCTTATTATATGTTTCACCGTAAGTAGCTAATAGAAAAGTAGAACCTTCACAAGGGTATTCCCTATAACTATCCACTTCGTTTTTCCACTGATATGCCATATCTCGATATTCTCTTCCTGTTCTTTTATTTTTGATTCTCTGTGTTCCATTCCTATTACTCAGCTTATTTGCCTTGTCATTTTTAAGTCTATCGGCGTATTCAATTTCGTGCAGGAAGCGGTTCACTATGTGCGAAAAATTGGGAGGAATTATATATGCGGTTTTATAATTATCTGCCAATATTTGCTTATCAGCATATAAACGGTGAAGTTCTTTTCGAAATTCTATAATCCTTCGTGGTATGAAGAAGATCGAAGATAATATCGATTCTTCTATAATCATTTCCTCATCTTGATTATGATATTTGCGTTCCAAACTACCAACTCGAACTACCAGACGTCGAAAAGCCTTTTCAAAATATGAGAAAATAATATCTGTATTTCTTGTAGATCGTGCTATATCATTGTCTGATATTTTCATATGATAATTATAAGTTATTTGTCAGAAATAAAAGATTCATCACATTTAAGTACCTGATACGTACCGGGATCCGAGGGGTCTTGTATGCATATATTTGTATACGGATTTTTCGTTGTCCAACTCTCATTATTCTGATAAAATGAAATAAAAGAATGATCTTAGGGGAATGAGTAAATTTAAAAATTATCAACTATAACAAAAGTTTTACCTTCAAGACATATTCACCGCCTCGATTTACACGTATGGCAATATTAAAAAAGTTAAATTTTAACCCATACAATTCAAAGAATTCTATAAGCAATACACCTAAATTATCGTCATTTGGTATTAAAGTGCCATTTCTAATAAAGGGATGCATCTAAACAAATTAAGGATTTCTCTTTGATGAAAAGTAATTATAAATAGAGAAAGTAACAAATTTACATATACGTACCTGGAAAAAGCTAAGCATCATACAAAAAACCGTAAATCCACCCATTCCTCCAGTGGATGGATCGTCAAGTCCGTGATGTTTCAAGAACCATTTTACAACTATTACCATTTTACCAAGTAATGGCCATTGATCCAAAAATTCTTTCATTGATCGAGCCGAAATATATCCAGATGATTGGTTGAATGAAATATCTACATTGAATTTTGTATAATACTCTTGAAATTTGATAATAGGGACTACCGCTTTCATTATTGTTGCAGGTCTTTCTGCGCTAATACGTTGATAATCCAACAAATTGGCAATCTTTCTAAGAACGTTTGGCGAATTATCTCTTACAAAACACACTATATCGAGATCACTATAGAAAATATATATGTTATTTAGTGGTTTAGATCATCTTGGATAATTTTAAAAACTATAATCATACCTAGTAGGAAGATAAAGTCCCGTGTTAAAACTACCAAAAACCATAACTTCGGCGGATGGATAGCTACTTTTAATACACTGTTCAATACGCTTGATTGCAAAAACTCGCCACAAACGTTCAATATCCGTGGGGCAGAGATACTTTACAACTTCATCAATTTCATAATGCAATCTATGGTAAACAATTTAAGTTTAATATGAAAGGTATCATGTGAAAATATTTTAAAAAATTAAAAGGTACCTTTGCGTTGCGTTCTTATATTTCCGACCGCTATCTTTCGTTACCCATGGCACTTCATCTTCAAAAGGTACCCTCCAAGTTTCCGAACGTTCCTTCCTTTTCATCCCTGAAGCTCGATTTCTTTGTCGCATCGCGTCAACTTCAAATAATTCTCGATTTGAAAACTCACCTAAAGGAATAAAAGAAGACTGACTGACAACATCGGTAGCTTGTTGAGATAGACTCTCAGTTATAACAGTCGAAGTTTCTGAGACGCTTTCCTGGGAAGTGCTATTCTCTTGAAACATTTTTGGAGCATCTAACGAAGGTGTACCATATGGCATTTTCATACAGGAGTGTGGAAAACATATGTCAGGTGAACGATAAATATCAAAAACTGGTTGATGATCAACTGCCGATCCGATCGGGTGTTTCTTGCACGCGAATAATATAATACAAAAATAAATGGTGATATATACGTATATATACTATTATTATATAAAATATAAAAATTCACTAAAATGCAGCAGCCAGAAGAAGAAGAACTTCAAATTGAGAGCAAATACATTAAAGAAAAGAAAATTGGGGAAGGAACATATGCAAAAGTGTATAGAGGTACATAAAAGTTGTTATTAGGAAAAAGTCAAGCGCGTATCGTACTCTGACACTTTTAACACACTTCAACAGGTACAGAAAGCGCGACTGGACGGACCGTCGCCATCAAAAAGATAAAGCTCGTACAAACTGAAATCGGGTCACAGGGCATCGAATTATCAGCCGTAAGGGAAGTTAAATGCCTACGTGAGTTACGACATCCTAATGTAATTGAGGTGAGTCAAAATGATTATAATATAAATGTTACAATATAAAGAGAGTACTAATCAATATCGCGATTCCTTGTTAAAATAGCTGATTGATATTTACTCTCATAAGTCTAATCTAAAACTTGTATTGGAGTATTTGGATTCAGATTTGGAAATGATAATAAAGGATAAGAGCATCCTTTTTCAGGCTCCCGACATTAAGAGCTGGATGTTAATGACATTACGAGGATTGGATCATTGTCACAGGAATTGGATCCTGCATCGGGTAAGTGTAAAATAATTGTTTCTTTTCGTTTCTTTTTTATTGTAATCACGCATTGATAACATTGTAAATAATTTATAGGATATGAAACCGAATAACTTGTTGGTAGGGAAGGATGGTCAATTAAAAATTGCTGATTTTGGTTTATCTCGTGATTATGGAGACCCTCATGCTAAAAATATGTCACCACAAGTGGTTACTCGGTATTTTATATTTTTAAATTTTATCAATAAAAATAATTCGATCTATTTTATAATAAACAGCTTTTATCTATAAAGTTGGTATCGAGCCCCTGAATTGTTTTTTATACCGTCTCAATACGGTTTTGCGGTGGACATTTGGTCAGTGGGTTGTATATTTGCTGAATTATTGTTGAGAACCCCTTATCTTGCTGGAGAAAGCGACCTTGCACAACTCGAACTTATTTTTAAAGCTTTGGGAACCCCTACTGAAGAAGATTGGCCGGTATATATATATATATATATATATATATTCATGAGACTTTAATGGGAGAGAGAGATAATTCTTTTTAAATCTTTTTTTTTTTTTTATCTTAGGGTTTTTCAGAATTGGCTCGAGATATGAAATTTCAAAAATTCGCTAGAACTCCATTACAGGTTCATTTCAAAGCCGCAGGTTCCGATGCGATAGATTTATTAGAAAAGATGTTAGCTTATGATCCAAACAAAAGAATTAATACGCGAGAGGTCTGCTAAAACTTCTTATTTTTTTTTATTTAGTTTATTATATAGTTTGATAGATGTTTATCTCTTTTATAATTTTTAGGCATTACTCCACTCTTATTTTCGTAAGCACCCAAGACCCACACCACCCGAAAATTTACCAAAACAGCAAAAGATACTTGAAAATGCGATCCAACAGAAAGAATTAAATTCCAAGCAATCCAATAAATCAAGTCGAGGTGAACTAACGGAACATAATAGAAACAAACGTAAAGCACAGGAAAGTAATAATAAAAGTGATAAAAAGATCCACCTTACTTGAACGAATCCTTCCTTTAGATTTTAGTAAAATAGAAAAAAAAAAAAGTGTAATAGTAAAATTGATTAATTTGATTTTAAGATTTACACATTATAGAATTCATTATTTACAGGTTTGCATCTAACTGCATAGACCCAAAAGATAAAAAAAAAAAAAAAAAACACATTGTTAAATTGTTATATAATTTGGTTATTTTATTTTTACAAAATATCACATTGTATTTTAAGTTAATTAAATTATTTCAATATTTAAATGATTAAAAGCCCAACCTTTTTTCTATTTACTTGAACGGAAAATTTTGGTAATAGGTATTCGGAGTTTAATTGGTGAAATATTGTTACAGATTGGCCATTTATTTTTTTGCTCTTGCTGAAAATTTTTTAGGAGAAAAAAAAAAAAATGTAATAAGATCGTTGCCTTCATAGTTGCCCTGGAAAATAATTAAAGTTGCTCCTAACTTTACACCAAAGCACCGTAATGTCTTGGATTATTAGAATTTTGCAAAATTTCCGGGACTAAAGAATCTATTTCAGTGGGCATGGTTTCATAAGTATCGCTAATGATCCCGTCACTGTCATCATCATCATCATATTGGAAAGTCTTATTGGATCTACCATATAGTCAATCGAGACTTTTCTCCTTCGCTTTCTCAATTTTTTTCACAAATTTATCCTCTACTTTCGAGTTCAACAAGAACAATGCACCCCTAACGATCACCATGATTCCAAAACAAAAACCAACAACAGACCACCATGATCCAACTTCATCAAATACGATCATACCACTCATAGCGACAAATGTTACATGTGATGAATAGAACATTGGTTGGAATTGTGTGACACGATATTTACTTAATGCTAACTGTTTACAAGTCTCTTGTCCAATTATGCCAATAATCAGTATAATTATTATTGCCATGAGAGAAATTATTAAGGCAAGCATTGAGGCTGAAGATCTGACCTCATCAAGGATGACGGGTAAGATCTTATCTTCCAAGTTTGAATTATTACCATCGGAAGGAACAAACACCCAAACCTTTAACAAAAGTGCTAAAAATTTTGATGTCACTACAGTCAGTGATCCAAATCCTGCCGTCATGAGAACGTAAAGGATCAAGGATGATTTTCCCTTCCTGGCGCGAACCATTATAAAAAAGATGCATTGAGCCACAAGTATTGTAATCAGCCACAGAATTACATGAAACCGAGTCATATACGCGAACAATTTGGAAGTGGTCGATAATTGATTTTCGATACTATTCGTTGATGTTGCAGAGAATACGATCGTCACAAGAACACCAGAAAGAATAAAGAAATATCCTTTGGTTTGACGCCAGCTAATTTGTTCATCTAACAAAAACTTTGCAAGTATAGCATTTACAACAACTCCCAGAATTCCAAGAGGGGTGACAACTGACGCGGGTATGAGTGAAAGAGCAACCCAATTTCCACATAACTCGCCTAGATAAACTAAAGAAATTCCTATAAACCATGTTCGATCTTTAAACCTTGAATAAGATACTGGAACAGGTGAAGTAGTCGGTAGAAGCGGCTGAGAACGTGTATCATCTTGATTTGATGATGCTGTAAATCGTGCTTCTCCACTCGTTAATGCATACTTTTGTAGACAATTTCCTAAACCGATAATTGAATTCCCTGCCAACGCAGCGACAAATCCCCAGAAAAAAGACATTATTGGGAATTTGTTTTATTTTATTATAAAAAAATATAAAATTAAAAAATAAATACAAGAGGTTAATCCTCAGAACGTTATTACTGAATAAAAAAATTTTTTTTTTTTTTATAAATATTTTATAAAATGGTTTTGCCCGACTACTAGTGCTATCGAATATTAATAAATAAATTTTCTACCCCGCGGTCTACGCGGAGAACGATATTTATACTTGCTGAAGAAAGAAAAAGAAAAAAAGAAAAATTTTTTAAAAAATGAACGACATGGGTCTGCAAGGCGAACTGGAAGGACTCGAACTATATTCTCACAATTCCCCTTTTATTTACCTATTTATACTTGTTACAGAATTACACAAAAATTACTGGCAAATCCCGATTTCACATTCTATTCGTATGAAACAATGTGAAACCAATTATAAATTATTTAACGTGCATATCTTGTCATTTTAGAAAGTTTTTTTTTAATGGAAATTTTTGTTTGTTTGTGTTAAAATATTTACCCCAATCGAATTTTATCGAATCAAAAGATAAATTCCAGGTAAAACACTACCGACCAATAAAGACTATGAAATGGATTCGTCCTACCGCTTGACATTATCAAGAATTCTTTGAATTTGTCAGTTCCCTAAAATTCATCGTTATTTTTGTTCTTGCTAGATTTGCTGAAAAAAAAAATATCATATTAGTATTAGTAACAAATATGGTGAAGTTGTTGGTACTTCTGCATATTGACAACTTACAAAATGATCTGCGCTAAGGTAAACAATCAAGGTTAATAAATTTATTGCATCACGAGCTACGTCCCATCTCACTATATATAAAGAATTGATATTCTCGTCGAAAGTTACGTTTACATAATCAATGTGCAACAGGGAATACTTTCCCTGCGTAAGATTATTAACATTACTGCAATATTATTTTTTAAAGTCGTGCATATGATGATTCCCAGAATGGCTAATTTCCTCAAAAAATACATTTTTCCAAGGCAAAGAATTACAATGCACCACCACAAACGAAGTAACAAGATGTCGTACATTTCGCAAACATTCAATATTACGTGTATACTCAATCAATTTGGACATATGTATTATATAAAAGTTGATGTCCTGGTTAGATGACTTGTGCTAGTAAAGCAGAAATGTTCAAACCAATCAAATTTACATTTGCATCATCAATTCAAACCTGCTAAATGAGAATAAATCCGAAAATTAGAGATGCTTATGTTTAATATGACAAATTTTCGGTCTGTTAGACATATTGCTTAAAATGACACATGATTTTCGTCACATGCAAAACGAATCATTGGTATCACGAACTAATGAAGCGAAATTTACAAATGTATTAAGAATTCTATATTCTCGGATATAAGGCGGAATGGAATGTTGTAAAATAGATTTTTATTTTCATCTCTATTAATTTTACTCAAAATTTTATAATAGATCTGAGATTGCTTCCTCTCGTAGAAGTCTCTTTAGAACTTAAATAACAAAATTCCCTTTATGATCTATATCGTTATGGAAATTACCCGTGAAAAGTAATAAAGATTCGTCTATTTATGTGTTAATAATTTTTGATTAGTCCGGAACGAAGCGAAGGATTATATACTTTACTGCGTGTCCCGATGTCTGCCCGCTCACATTATGAGTCAATTCGTCTGATTGGTTTCTGCTGTTACATCTCTTTCCCGATTAAGTAATTACCCATAATTAAAAAGTACAAAAAAAATGAAATATTGAAAAATATTGAATAATAAAATATTTATTATATTATTATATAAAATATTTATTTATTATAATTACAAAATTTTTTATACATTTTATTAACGTAAATGTTTGTTTATTTCAAGGTATCATAGAATGCAGACGCTCTTCTTCAACCTTCCTTTCTTGTAATCTTCTGCAACACTTAATACATTGAAGCTTTTCAAAATTAAACTCCTTAAAGAAAATATCGCTAAGTGAACAAACTCTTGATACCGCAATGAACGAAAGACCCACCGCAAATTCCTTGTCTCCAATATCTATTTTAGCCTTTGGCAGGGTAAGTCCTTGACTCTTATGTACTGTAATTGCCCATGCAAGACAGATTGGGATCTGAAGCCGAGAACACAACGTTCCAGATTTACCTTTTCAAGTCCGTTTAATAGGTATGATTAGAACAACGTTGACTCCTTCGACTGTTGTGATAATAGATCCTTCATAAAGATCAAATTGATAAAAACTGCTATAGGAAGTGAAGTTGGTCCCTACTCCTTATATAGAATATCTTATATGGTTCCCATTGAGCCATTAACTAACCCGACTTCAGTCCATAAGTTTGCTGTTAGCATGATACGTGAACCTTTTGCTAATAACAATTGAGCTTCGAGTCCTTTCGCCACGTCAGAGTCGGCCCTTCTGGCTTCGTCTCCTTCAGAATTATGTATCGCAAAAATCTTGGCTACTGGTTTATTCAAAGACCTGAGCATTTCTATATTAATTTTATCTACATCAGACCACTTTGTTAATATATATATAGCATCTGAGAATCGATCACGCTCGACTCTATTAAGATTTTCTCCAAAGCGTGTGCAGAGTTTTTCCCAATCATTTATGCTACAATCCCCTTCTCACAACCTTAAAAGTAGGTCTCTAAAGCCCTGTTGTTCTTCGGAGTTTCCTGATTACCTTTGAATGACATCAAGTTTGTATACCTCTCTAAATTGTTTGTATGATGCAATACTGTTGTTTGAAATTGGGTCACGCGATATGTTACTAACGTACATGGGAAGGTCAAGCACAGGTGAAAGCTACCCGAAATTGCCAAACATGATGATAGATCGTCCACCAAAAGGTTTGTCCTTACTTTCTGGAAACCCTTCTCTCAGCCGCATGTTGATTAAAGCAATCATTCGATGCCCGACCATACTTTTTTCGTCGATGATAAGGTAAATTATATTTTGTAATTTCTCTTGTAGTTGTTTCAACCGGTCGCCATCTAATTCAAAACTTTTGTTACTAAATATCAGTATGGAAAGCATTAAGTGAATCGTTGCACCATTAATATTGAAGGCTGCAACTCCTATTGGTGCAATCACAAGTACTGGAGGTTTAGATCCAATTCTTACCATTGTACAAAGTCTCTCTCAAATTGCCCTAATAAGATAAGTTTTTCCTGTTCCTGTAGTTCCCATGATTATAATCCTTAATGGTTCAACCTGATGACCTGTAAGAATATCGTTGTAATGTGATTCTATACGCTTAAAAACTTTTTTTTGATTTTCATTTAGGGTTTGATAATCAACTGAATTATTCTCTTTTTCTCTACCATTATCCCTGCTATTACTCCGAGCTTGATGCACAAAGTTACAAGCATTTGCTATATCAGTATCGGAATAGTATTATTGAGAGTCATTAATCCAGTCATGATTTTGATCCATATCTCGAGATCCTAAATCAGATGAACTAATTATTCTCGCGTTTGGTCCTATCTCTGCAAGACGCATCCAATCATACCGAAATTCTTCCTACTCTTCATTTTCAAGTTGTTCATCTTGACTTTCATCATCGCTAAACTCATCTTCATTATCTACAGGATGTCCAAGTATATCAATTGGATCAGCATTGATCGTATCAAGATGTTGACTGTAAAGCATTGACCAAGAGGTATTATTGTTATCAGTCAGTTGTTCGAGGTTTCGATGCGGAACATGAAGAATGACCTTTACCTGGCAAAAATCTTCTCACTGATCTCCATTACGTAGAGGTAATGGCTGTGGCCATATGCGTATGATATTTTCTTTATTGCATATTTTTTAATGCCCATTTACATTTTTATGTGTTAAATATAGTTTAAATAATGAAAAATCTTCAAGCTCGTTAGGTCGATTCCAGTATTTTTTGAGAGGTGATTGTGTTGTACGCCCGCATCATTGATTGTGATAAACTCTTTTTCATTATTTCTATTACCTGTACTTTGAATCCACCTTGGTGTTTTCTCATGAAGATTTAAAGAAACAAATGAACGACTTGAGTAATAAAGAGGAATACCAAGAAGAAGGTGGCAGGTTTCTTGAGCAGAGATGTCTCATTCCGCAACGCTGTTGAGCAGAAGTTTCTGGATCGATGTAAGTGAAGGGTCATTGGGATTGCTGTTGTTAAGGATTTGATTAAATATCTTTGCAAAAGTTATTGACTGAGGTTCTGCTTTACTTGCATACTTCGAAATGTATTGCAAGGCCGCGTGAATGCTAAGAATTGGCTTTAGATCGACATTAACATGCCAACCCTGCAATTGAAGTCAGTTGTGTGGATTAATATATGGGTCATTCCTTGCCGTTACAAGTTCTAGCTGTTTATGATTATCTTCACATATGAATGTGCAATCATTGTGGTCTTTAGGATATCTGAATCTGCATGTTTGTTGACCTGTTCTCTTGTTAACACGAATACAATATGAAGGGCTACAACGTGTGTGATGTTGTAGCTTGTTGATTAATTCGATATAATCCTGTAAATCATCTTCAATTTCGTCTTTACCTTTTTGGCAGGGATATTGTTCTGGTATAGCTGCATTGATTCCCGGATTGATTGTAGTAACTATTGAATCAATATATTGTATTACATTATGCATTTCATTTTCATTTTCTTTGATTTGCCTCCAGTTAATTATAGGTGCATTCCATTTCTTTCCTATTCCATATATGTGTACACTTCCCCAATGTTGCCATTAGAATCTATACTACCAATCTTCTAAGTTCCATCGTGGTTTTAGCACATTGTAAAAGAAATTCTCAAAACATTTATTAAAGAACCAGGCAGCTATATGTGGATTGTCAACAATGTTCTGATGACGCTGTTTATTTAAATCAGACTTTACTTCATTATTTGGCATTAGGTGATGGAGTTCGGGCCAGTGTATGTCAGTTGCACTAAAGGTAAAAAATAATAGACCTTGATGGCCTATTTGCTTGATCATATCTGATAATTCATAACGTCAGGCCATTCAAAACTGTCGTAACCC